CGACTACCTGGCGCGCCACGCCCCCGCCGACCACCCGCGCGCCTTCTTCGCCGACGCCTTCCCCGCCGTCCTCTTCCGCCTCTTCGTCTCCTCCCCGTCCTCCCCCTCCTTCCTCGACCTCGCCGCCGCCGGCCCCGACCCGGACCCCGCGCTCGCCGGCCTCCTCCTCGCCCTCCTCGCCCCCTCCGGCCCGCTCCTCGCCGCCGCCGCCGCCGCCGACCGCCGCGCCCTCATCCGCTTCGTCTTCCCCTCCGAGCGCCTCCCCTACTGGCTCCGCGTCGCCCTCGCCGACGCCGACGCCGGCGGCGGCGCCCTCGCCTCCCCGCTCCTCGCCGCCCGCGTCGGCTCCGAGCTCCACCTCTCCGTCTTCGAGTACTTCCTCTTCTGGTTCGCCTACTACCCCGTCTCCTCCGCCGATCCCGCCGCCTCCGCCTCCCCCCCGACCAACAAATCGCGCTCCCGCATCGAGTCCTGGGTCTCCACCCTCGCGCCGACTGCCGGCGGCACACGCAAGCCGGGGCAGAAGCCTGAGCCCTGTCTGTACCTCAAGCTTCTGTACGCCTATCTCAGGGAGTTTGTGCCGACAGCCGCCTGCACGCCAGTGCGCCGGCTCACCGGCACCCTCCTGCAGCGCACGGCCAGCGAGGAAGGTGCTGACGCCGCTGACCCTTTTGCCCGTGCCGAGTTCTTCCTCCACACCCTCGTCCAGTTCTGGCTTGTGGGGGACGACTTCTCGCCGCTGCCTGTGCAGACGTACCACGCGTTCGGACTCAAGCTGCCCTCCCGGGCTCGCGCCGAGCTCAGCGAGCAGCCGCCGTCCCCTGGGCTCGGGGATGCGGTCAAGCTGCTCGTCATGTACCTGAACTGCTGTGTTGGTGGTCCTGCGCGCATGGTGTTTGAAGGAATGACAGCGAGGAATGTGGTCTGCGATAGCCAGGTTGGATTCTGGAATCCCCTGATACAGAGGCCTATGTATCGGTTTGTGTTGAGGGCCTTCTTGTTCTGCCCCATTGGCGCGGTGATAAAAAATGCAACGCAAGTCTTCTCTGTGTGGTTGGCATATATGGAGCCATGGAAGGTTACACAAGAGGAGCTGGATGAGTATGATGTGTCCCTGATGCAGGGGACGGGCACACAGGGGACGCAGAAAGGGGAGCTGCTATATACTCCGTCGTGGAAGAATTATGTGCTGTCCAATTACCTATTCTATAGCTCGATGGTGGTGCATTTCCTGGGTTTTGCACACAAGTTTATCCATTCTGATGTCTCCTCAGTGCTCGTGATGATTTTAAAGGTTAGTCCTGGCTCCTGAGTTTTACATCTGTTGCCATGCCATACGTGATTGAATTTATGTTCAGCATTAGATTTAGCCGCTTGGGTACTCAAATTCCCTGATGGTCATTAATGCCAAGAAGTTGTGACAACTGAAACATGAGAAATGAGGGTGCTGGATTTGCGCCTTGCAGGTGTCACGGTCTTAGTTGTTTTACTAGCTCAGTACATGTTTTGCAACTAAAAATAATTTTTAGGCTCATGACGGTGTTTTAGCTTCACGCTTTGGTGTATGATAAGGAAGCTGGTATGGCCAAGATGAACCACCAGGAGATAGAGATCTGTGGAAGTTCATAGGTGCAGGAGTTTGTTGTTCTTGTTTGGTCCCTCAAAGCTAGGATTGTAAATATATGATTGAGAAATTCCCACTGTTCTGAACGCTACATGCCATAAAATATAATTTGTGAAAGCAGGACATAGCGAAATTATATAGTCTGTCAATGAGCATCCTTGGTAGGTATGTCGATCTGTAAGCTTTTGAGCTAACAGTTTCTGCACATTTCTGTTTACGTACATATAATGTGATAACCTGCCACCATTGATGTTGTGCCTATATCTATATGTCTTCAATAGTTTAAGCCTCCTACACTGTCTTTGCCAAACATAAATGTAAATGTGCGAGTCTGTAACATGCTTATGGTCCTTTGCTGGATGTTCTTACTTTATTTGCACAGTGTTTTAAGGCTCTCTGTTCACTGTATACTCTCCAAAAGTATTACTCATGCATTTCTGTGCCGAACAGTCTATGATGATTGTTTTATCAAGGTGCCTATTGTGGTTATGTGTAATTCAAAGGTTTCCATTACAACGGGGAGAACCAAGCTAGTCAGTGTCAGATGAACAAATTAATGAAATACAAGAAATGTTTTGTTTATTCTGTTTTGCACTATCCTGGAGTATTATTTGGCCAATTACATGCTTGTTTTGTATTATTCAGGTATTGGAAGTCTTGTCTTCCTCAACAGAACTGGTGGATCTTCTATATAAAGTGGATATTGCCTATCATTCTAGACCGGTTACTTCACCGTCAACTTCTTCAGAATCAGATGATGTAATGAAGTATGTTCCGTCAATCCGTGAGCAGCTAAAGGTGGGTTACAGCTAAATTGTGATTTGAAATTGTATTTGATTACATTATGAAGTTGCTGTCCTAAATATTTGTGTAACCTGTGTGGTCTGTTACAGGATTGGGAGGATGGTCTGACAGAAACTGATGCAGATGGATCTTTCTTGCATGAGCATTGGAACTCTGATCTAAGACTTTTCAATAGTGGTGAGGACGGGGCTTATCATCTGCTTCAGGTACACATTTTGTTACATGAGTTGTAATTTAGCCCATTTGTTCTAGTCACTTTAACCATGATTACCATATCTCACATCATTACATGCTTGATTCCACTTCCAGTATATGTGTCCATTTTCAGTTCAGCCGAATTAGTACTTGAGTTGTACTGCTGAACAAATCAACTGAGTTACAGGATTATCATGATTTAGAACTAGTAGCGAGGATTTTATTTGGAGTTGCCTTATATTACTGGAGGATAGTTTAGTGATTTGTCTGGCATAACTTGCACTTTCATTAAGACTATAACTTAACCTATATTTTGTATCAATGTTGAGGGACTGGGAGAACAATTTGTAATTTCGCTAAAACTACCTTGTGCATACTGGTGAATTATTTTTCATTTGTGCTCTGCTTGTGTATATTCTTTTTCATAATTTTCTAAAAGCTAAACATGGGTGGATGCTGATATCAGTTTTTCATTTCTGTCAAGCTCCTTCTGATCCGAGCAGAGCTGGAGATACAACGCCTGCCAGGTGACACAGTACAAGCTCTCCAGTCGTTGGATTTGATAAAATCCCGGATGAAAAAGATCTTCCAGGGCCGCATTGAAGGCATCCACCACCAGAATACTTCAGCGCAGGAGTTGCAGGATCAACATCCAGGGCGCGGCGAGATATTTACACCTAAGCATCCCCATTCGGGGAGGAGCAAGTTTGGCGAAGTCAGATACAGAGGCGACTGGATGAAGAGGCCCATCTCGGAGACTGAAGTGGCCTGGCTCGCGAGGATCCTTATCCACATATCTGACCGACTGAACGACGCCCTTCGACTTGGCTGTGACGGTGCTGCTGATGATAGCGTTGCTAACCCGACGTACATTAAGTTTGACAGGAACGATCTGACGACAATAGGGGGACCGAAGGACGCCGCTAGGATGGCTCTCGTGGCTATCTGTTCGCTGCTGGCGGTTGTGGGACAGGCGGTGCTGAGGTTCATGAGGGCGCACAGGGTAAAGATCAATCTTAGAGTTTTTGCTTCGAAGAAGCTGCTGACTGGCCTCGTGTTGCTGTACGCGATGGTGGCGGGGACAAAGAGAGCTTTTTATTGAGCTTTACATGTGTTGCTTCCAGCACCGACACCGTCGCTAATGCTTCCGTGATCTTCACTGAAGCTCCCAAGTTGGAGATGATGGTGCATGTGATGTACAAAACCCATAGGAAGGAAGAGGTGGAAACTCACAAAGGGATCGACTTGTTAGTGTGTGCCATGGAGACTGAGAGCAAGGGAATGGTGCCCACTGGCTGGGTTCTTGTTTTGCTCTTTGTTAGAGAAGTGGCTGGCAACGGCACTCATGTAAAATGAAAGAAAAAATGATGTAAACTTACGTTGTAATACTGGGTTTCGTAGTCCTGGAGAAAGAAAGAAAAACCTGGTTCGCTGTTTGGCTCGCCAGTTGTTCTTGTTAGTGTGTGCTCTACTTCTCAGGATATGCCCTTCTGCCGGTGGTTGCGTTTTCCAACATTGCTCTGCAATGGTAGGTAACAAAGCTGCATCTGTATTACCCAGTTACTCCCTCTGTTCGGAATTACTTGTCGTAGAAATGGATGTATCTAGATGTATTTTAGTTCTAGATACATCCATTTCTGAGACAAGTAATTCCGAACGGAGGGAGTATATCTTATTTCTATAGTTCCGCAGTTATTTTACTGCTAACATAGTTTAGTTTAGTGTTACAACTGTAAAAAATAAAAGGAGCATACAGTACATAATTGACTCTAATGTCGTTGCTGCTGATTTACATGTGATGATATAAAGCCTTAGCGGGTGACACCTATCTTGATCCCTAAGCCATCAACAGAATGGAGAAAACAAAATCTCCACTGCTCCAGGAAGAACAGAGCTCCAAACCAAAGCCAGAAGCCAGAAACAACGCCAAGAATTACAGAGTAACACAGCCCCAGGTCTATGAGTTTTGTGTGGTCTTCAGTTCCCTCGCCCAATGTAGGCTCACACGGGCTCAAGGGGAAGCCGCAGAGCCCCAGATTGTTGCCATATATTGATGGATCTGCAAGTGTCTGCAACTGATTCCCGGTGGGTATGCGGCCCTGTAGGTGATTGTTTGAGAGATTTAACACACCGAGGGCTGGCAGATTTGAGATGCTGGGAGGAATGCCACCTGAAAGTTCATTGCATGAGAGGTCAAGGAACGCTAGGAGCTCCAGTCTGCCGATTCTCTCTGGAATACTGCCTGATAGATCATTTCTTGATAAGTTCAGAAACCGGAGAGCTTCGAGGTATGTTAGCTCCTCCGGGATGTTCTCCGTTAGTCGATTGCATGATAGGTCGATACCTGTAATTAACCCGATGCTTTTCTGAAAAGTTTGTTCACGGCCCTTCTAGGATATGTTGACTCTCTCTGGGAACTGATCCACCCGCGGTCGTCCATTGGGCATAATCTGCAAAGGAGCGGAATCCCTCGGTCCGTCCAATGGGGGAAGATTATGCCTCATGGAGGTCAAGTTGCTGAAGGCTACAGGAATTGATCCTGTCAAGCTATTGTTGGCCATATCGAGCAGCTGAAGTTGCGAAAGCCTTGATAACTCTGGGGGGATTTGTCCGGTGAAATTGTTTGATCTAAGCCTAAGGATTTTCAGTGATGGAAGCTGACTCCCGATCCATGTAGGGATACCACCGAAGAACTGGTTGTTCCCGATGTCCAGGGTGGCCAGCAACTTGCAGCCTTGCAGGAACGGTGGGAAGGCGCCCGCGAAGCCATTGCCGGCAAAGATGAAACGAGTCAAGAGAGCAGTTATAGTCTGGCATGGCCGTGAGGATCTCACCTGAGAAGGAGTTGCTCCAGGACTTGCAGATTAGAAAGTCGGGATAACTCGGGTGGAACAACACCACTGAAATTGTTGGATGGGAGGCTCAGAACTGTTAGAAGGGGGACACTTGTTCCAACCCAAGAGGGGATATCACCGAAGAACTTGTTGTTCCCAAGATCTAGGATGACGAGATCTCTGCAGGTTTCAATTACAGATGGAAAAACTCCAAAAAAGCTATTGTTAGCAAGACGAAGTGACTGCAGTTCAAGGCCCAAGCTTGTTGACATAGGAAGTTCACCTGAAAAGCCGTTGTTGGACAAATCCAGTAACCACATAATTGACGACGGGGATGACGACGACGGGGACGGGGACGGGGCGGCGTTGA